GTGCATGTGTATGTGTAGATACACACATACTAAGCATATGAAATTTACTGTAATGTTTGACAGCCAATTTGTGGATAGGACTAATCCATGAACCTAAAGGGAAATGGAGATTTCAAATCTTCACATAAATCAGGGATAATTCCAGCACTTTGAGAGGCTGAGGCTGGCAGATCAGGTCAGGAGTTCAAGACCAACCTGACCAGCATAGCGAAACCCCATCTCTACTATAAATACAAAAACCAGCCAGGCATAGTGGTGTGTGCCTGTAATCCCAACTGCTTGGGAGACTGAGGAAGAAGAATCACTTGAACCCGGGAGGCAGAGGGGTGCAGTGAGCTGAGATCGCACCATTGCACTCCAGCCTAGGCAAAAAGAGCAAAACTCTGTCTCAATAAATAAACAAATAAATAAATAAATAAAAATAATTAGGGTCTTCAATCCCCAGGCTGCAGAATGGTACTGGTCCTTGGCCTGTTAGGAACCGGGCTGCACAGCAGGAGGTGAGAGGTGGGTGAGATCAGTGCCCTCCTGTCAGATCAGCAGTGGCATCAGATTCTCAAAGGAATGCAAACCCTACTGTGAACTGCACATGTAAAGGATCTAGATTGCACGCTCCTTAGGAGAATCTAAGGATGACCTGAGGAGGAACAGTTTCTTACCAAAGTCATTGCCCCGACCACCCTCCGTGGAAATTGTCTTTCATGAAACCGATCCCTGGTACCAAAAAGATTGGGGACAGCTGACATCAACCATAAAATCAAAGGTAGTGCTCTGGTCTCCATGGGAAAATGTATAAGGAAATATCAATATGCAAGAGATTCACTAATGAGACTTACTGCACAGTGTGGCAGGCAAGCGATCAAAATTATAAACTGGCTTCCTGCTACAGTCCTTACTAATGTCAAACTTAAGTGAAAGAGGAAAGAAGTTGAAACAAAGTATGAAAAAGTATAAATTGTGAAATTAAGATATTTACTCAGTAACTTCCTCGATCAAAGCTTTGTAACCCTGGAGCTCTGAGGGATCCATGTGACTATGAATAGCAGTGGTCACAGATATCTCGTCCCTTCCTGATGTGATGTTTTAACATGCTGAGCTTGACGTTGCAGGAGGAAAATACCAACATCGTTTTTTGTCGATTAATTCATGTGTTCGCACTTAATGTGGAATCAGGATTTGGAAAGTCATACTTGAAGACCTAGTTCAGAACTACCCTGAGCTCAGGAGCATTGCAAAATCCTCAAGGATTACCAAGCTGTCTGGTAGATAACAAGCCCCAATGGCAGAAGAGCTCTGCCTTAGGTGACCAGATGACCAACATGATGGATGATCTATTAAGTCAAAAGAGCCATACAGAGAGGCTGGAGGTGCTGCCTTTGCATGGGCTGGAGTGCAGTGGCGCTATCTCAGCTCACTGCAATTTCCGCCTCCCGGGTTCAAGGGATTCTTCTGTCTCAGCCTCCTGAGTAGCTGGGATTACAGGCATGTGCCACCACACCCAGCTATTTTTTGTATTTTCAGTAGAGGCGGGGTTTCGCCATGATGGCCAGGATGGTCTCGATCTCTTGACCTCGTGATCTGCCTGCTTCAGCCTCCCAAAGTGCTGGGATTATAGGCATGAGCCACCAAGCCAGGTCAAAAGATGTTCTTTAGGGACAAAAATACCGTATTCCTTAAGGTCTTTCCATGTTACTAAGGCTAATGTCGTAAGGCTTGAAATCCGGGCCATGGGATCCCATCCCCAGGGAAGCCTCCAGACTGCACTTGGAGAATACACCCCTGGTGCAAAATGCAAGGACAAGTGAAGGACAAACACAGACATAATGACCTCCTCAGGCACCAGGGTCAAAGCCAAAATATGGCATGGCCATAGTACAGAGAGAATACCTGTACCTGTAATTGTAATGTAAGCACAGAGAACAAGAACAATGCTGGTTTTCCAGGGCACGACTCAGCAAGTCACATTCCCTGCGTTTTGGTTGCTCATCTGCAGAGTGAGATGACAGCGTAGTGACTGGCACAGCATTGCTGGAGGTCATATCTTTGGAGACTGAACACACAGGAAAGGAGACTGAAACCGCCTTTGCAAAATTATAACAGAGGAAATGATGACAGTGAAAGAAATCAGACCTAAAGACCTCCATCTTGCTTCTAACCTTAAGCCATTCATGAACCTTGTTCATGAATGAACAAGGAATGAACCCCTCGTTCATTCCTGGGGGTAGGCTAAACTTTGGGAGGGAATTCAGTTCACGGTTTGACTCTGAAACAAAATTGATAATAGCCTTTCCCGAAAAGACCTCCTTCTTGCCTGGGGACCAGTTTGCCTTTGCAGGACTAACAAATTAGCTACAGATCAGAAATTACAGTTTAGGGGTCATGCAGCCTCTGGCTCCAAGAGTCTGAACTTCTCCAAATTACTCCTAAGGATAACATCATTTACTGTAAAACCTAAGATTAGTGCTTAAGATATCTGGCAGATTACGCTGGAAGGATCAGCTGACACCGGCTAGATCAGTAATCTGGCTCAACCACTTCTGCCAACCCACCCAGGAGCAGAAGACAGCAAGAAAGACTCTTCCACCCACTATGATTCCATCTCCAACCTGACCAATCAGTACTCCCCACTTCCCAAGCCCCTACCTTCCAAATCATCTTTAAAAAAGCCAATCCCTGAATGCTTAGGAAGACTGATTTGAGTAATAATAAAACTCTGGTCTTTCGCACAGCGGGCTTTGTGTGAATACTCTTTCTTCACTGCAATTTCCCTGTCTTGATAAATCAGCTCTGTCTAGGCAGCTGACAAGGTGAACCAACTGGGCAGTTCCAAAACTGCTGCTCCTCAGGGAGTTTCTATACGTTTGGACCATGCAGTGTTACTACACCAGCTGTCTCCAAATGCACCAAAGTAGGTACGTTCCCAGTTTATTCCTGGGCTCAGTGAGAGATTAAATAATTTCCTAAACTCCCACAGCTAATAAGCAACATATTAGTATTTGAGCTCCATGTTGTCCGACTTTACCACAGAAGCTTTTCCACTCCCTCGGACTGCCTTCTGAGGGTTACGGAGTTTGGAGGAAGGCCAGAACCCCGGGGAAGTCACCCTTTTAGAGACCCTGAAAGATACTGTCATGTATTTGAATAGAGTCTGTTTGTTTAAGTTAAAAGGAATTAAACGTGTGCTTTCTTATAAAGGCCACCCAATCTCGTGAAAACATAAACACACAAAAACATAAAGAACAAAGCAGAAGTCATTGTCCCAGCTGGTCAATCTGCATTCCAGGATGGTCACCGCGTTGTCTGAGAGCCTTTCACGCATGTCCTCTCATTTCTCTATATATGCGTCGACTCTAACCCCACACAATGTACCGTGCAAGGCTTTGTTCTCTTACTTCCAACCAAAACAAAAGACCGAAAGAGAAGAGGAAAATAGAAAGAGGGAGTCTCTCTGAAGCTATTCTGCTCTGGGGACCGCCCAATGTTTGTTTTTTTTTTTTTTTTTTCAAAAAAGGAAAAGAAAGAAAACCAACATTATTGTTACCAGAAAGAGGTCCTGATCCAGACCCCAAGAGAGGGTTCTTGGATCTCCTGAAAGCGAGAATTCAGGGTGAGTCCGTAGCGTCGTGTGAAAGCGAGTTTATTAAGAAAGTAGAGAATAAAAATAATCTGTACCCCAAATCCCGCGGCACACGACCTACTCATGTAACAAACCTGTGCGTGTACCCCATGAACTTAAAATAAAAGCTGGAAGAAAAAAATGTAGAGAAATGAAAGAAGGGCTGCTCCATAGTTAGAGCAGCCCTGAGGGCTGCTGGTTGTCCATTTTCATGGTTATTTCTTGATTATATGCTAAACAAGGGGTGCGTTACTCATGCCTCCCTTTTTAGAACAAATAGGGTAACTTCCTGACATTCCCATGGCATTTGTGAACTGTCATGGTGCTGGTGAAAGTGAGGACGACCAGAGGTCACTCTTGTGACCATCTTGATTTTAGTAAGTTTTGGCTGGCTTCTCTAATGCAACACCAGCAAGATATTTATGACCTTCTGCTGACCTATCTCATCCTGTGACTTAGAATGCCTTAACCATCTAGGAATGCAACCCAGGAACTCTCATCCTCATTTTTAAAAGCTCCTATTCAAGATGAAGTCGCTCTGGTTCAAACACCTCTGACATTATGAAGTGTCTTCTCTATGCGGGTGCTGTCTGTGTACTCATTTATTTTATCTTAACAACTAGCGCTAAGACCTTGGAACTACAATCTCCAGTTACACATACGGATGGTAAAGCCACAGGGGTTAAGTAACTTGTCTGTAGTAAACTGAGCCCAGCTCTAACTGTCCCAGATCCCATGATCTTGCTATAGTCTATACTGTTTCAGGTGGGTCAGGGCCATTATTTTTTCCAGAGCCCTTTAAATAAGGAAGGAGACCCCCAAAAGTCTTATATGGGAGTAGTAGTGTGTGTATATGAGCACGTGTGCAAACCGCTTGTCTTCAGCACCCTGAGTGCCTTGCCCTGCCCTCCCTGGTGAACCTGAGGGCTCCACGAGAGAGCAGGGCACTTCTCCAAGTGTGCCTCAGCTCCCTGAATCCCATCCCCACAGCTTCCGGTATCTGAGCTTAAGTCGCTTCACAGAGTCGTCCCTATCTTCCCACCTCCCCCGCTGGAGAACAGAGGTGGAGTGAAGAGGACAGAGAAATCCAGAACACGCACGTCCTCATTGTTTGCAGGGAGGGCTGATGTTGACCAAGCTCGTGTTTGCCCTCCTTGCCCAATGCTCTCTGAGGTGGAAAGCCAAACACCAGGCCCCAAGAACCAGTTTAAGTAAATCATTGATTTTTCACAAAATTCCTGCAACTCCTTTGTTTTTTGTTCCCAGTCATTCCACTGAATTAAATTTATATTTGCCCACTGTCAAAACAGCAGACCCACAGTCCTGAGGGTAAAAGAAGAAGGAAGTACTATTTATTCCACCAGGCCTTTTCTGTAATCCTCACCGCAGCCCCACGGTGTCGGGATGATCCTCTCCATTCCACAGATTTTTATCTTCTGAGATGATGTCGCTGGCTCTAGGTTCTTGGTGGTCAATGGCAGTTCTGGGATTCGCCCTATATCTGACTTCTTTTCCACTTCATTGCTGGAATCCTTCCAAGACAGCAAGGAAAGGAGAAGGTGGAGGGGAGAGACAAGAGTTTTGAGATACAGTTTAGCATAGTCTACAACTAGCCATTCCTCCCAAAATAAATGAAAACAGAAAGACTTCTTCATGAATGCTCACAGAAGCTTCATCTGTAACAGACCAAAGTGGAAGCCACCCAGACATCCATCAATAAACGGGCGAACTGTGGCCTGTCCACACGGTGACAATGGATAGGGCTCAGCAAGAAGCATGAATGCACTGCTGATGTTGGTGACAACATAGATCAACCTCAAAAACATGATGTTGAACTAAAAAAGCCAGACACAAAAACATAGGCAGTGTATCTTCTCATTTACAGGCTCTTCTAGAAGAGGAAACCCAGTCTATGGAGACAGAAATCAGAGCAGAAGCTACTTTCAGGAGGCACTGATAGAAAGGGGACCTCATGGATGGAAGAATTTCCTCTGTCTTGCTCAGAGTGGTGGTTACACAGATGCACACGCGTGTAAAATCTATTGAGCTGTGTATTTAGGAGTTATGGTTTTACTACATGCAAATAACACCTCCATAAAAATAAATCAATGAAGGCAGTGAAGGGATGGTGGAAGGTGGAGTGGCAGGAGGATTCAAGAGAGGCTTTGTAGTGTCATCTTATATATTCTCTTCAACCCTCGCCTGCAAAGTAGAGATGGCAAAACCTTCTTTGCAGAGCTATTGAGGAAATGAAAGTTTGTAAGCACAAATTGCTAACAGAGTGCCTTGGCATCTTGTAACCAATCAGCAAGTGGGTTGCTTTGGCTGGGATTCCGATGATGAACTCAGGAGGGGCCACAGGGAGAATGGAAAGAGGGACGGCAGGGGCATGAGGCAATCTCCCTCCTCATGGGTGGCATTTCATCGTGACAGCTCAGTCCTCGCTCTGTTGTCCTCCCACAGACTGTTTGCCTTTTCTATGGGGCAGACAGAGGAGCCAGATGGAAAAGCAGCTTGGGTGGTGGTGGAAGCCCAGGCCTGGCACCGGGAAACCAGGCTCTCTGTCCTGGCTGGGAGGCTTTGGCAGCCTGCTAACCTCTCCCTCCTCAGTGTTAGACTCCAGCTTGAATAACAAACCAACTGGTTTGGTTTTGCTTTACCTAAGGAGTTACACGTCTCACACAAATTTTTAGTATATATACAGTTTCCACACTTTCACCCTGGCAAGATACCTTAGCCATCTGATGAAAGAAACTCTCCATTTCCACAATCCTTGATTAACTCAGTTCATGAAGCAACTTTTAATCACCCATTTTGTGCTCAGTACAAAGCCACAGAGATAGAAACAATACAGTCCTTGCCCTCAGGTCACTTGCAGCCTGGTGATGCCACCGAGCTTTGGGGTCACACATCTCACAGCCTGGTTAGAATCTGCTCTCCACTGCTTGCCAGCTCCACGACCTGGGACTAGATACACAACGTCTATGAACCTCAGTTTCCTCATCTATAAAATGGGATAACAGAAATTGACTTCATAGGCTTGACATGAGGATGAGGAGTTAATCTGTGACAAATGCTTGGAATGGCGCTGGCATGAGCCACGTGCTCACTGTTACCTATTATGCTAATGTTACAAAGGGATGTGTATGAAGTGTCGCAGAGGCAGCAAGCAGGGAGAAAGAGAGGAAGGGAGAGATGGAGGTACGCGTTTCAGCATCAGGGTAACACTCTCTGCCTCAGTTTCCTCATATGTTCTAAGGAGATCACAGTGGTACCCACTGCACAGGATAGAGTGGGGTGATGCACACGAAGTGTTTAAGACGGGGCCTGGCAGACAGCACATGCGCGAGGACTCTCGGCCACGATGCAGGGGGTGGCATGCCGCCCCTGGAGTATTCGGAGATGCGTATTATAAAATGGAAGCAGAAGGCCTGTTAATACCCAGCAAACAAACACTCAAAGTCAACATGAAGTCAACAGGGCAAATCGAACCATCTGAAGCCAAGGTCGGAGTTGGGCAAATTAAGAGCCCTATTGCTCTCGGTTACCTAAGCCACCCACACAGGCCTTGTATTTCTGAGTAATATGGCCTGAAGTCCTGCTGGGTCTCCCCTGATCCCCACAGGAGGATGAGTCCTACACGCTCAGCCCTGCTGTGGTTCCCGGAAGGCCTCTGTCACTGCCCGCTCTCTTCCTCTCCCAGGGAAGAATCCCCAAAGCCATGACTTGGGGCAAGAGAAAATGAAGGCAGACCTGGAAGCTGAACATGGTGGCATTGCTAGAAAGCAGTGTGAGTGGCTGAACATCAGCACAGATTGCTGAAGGGATAATGAGATAGCTTAAAAGCATTCCCGCTGACCAACTAAAATCAAATCATGATTGTAGTTAAATAGGACGCATTGAGTCTCTTAAAAGCTTCCAATCTGGCCGGGCGCGGTGGCTCAAGCCTGTAATCCCAGCACTTTGGGAGGCCGAGGCTGGTGAATCACGAGATCAACAGATCGAGACCATCCTGGTCAACATGGTGAAACCCCGTCTCTACTAAAAATTACAAAAAATTAGCTGGGCATGGTGGCGCGTGCCTGTAATCCCAGCTACTCAGGAGGCTGAGGCAGGAGAATTGCCTGAACCCAGGGGGCGGAGGTTGCGGTGAGCTGAGATCGCGCCATTGCACTCCAGCCTGGGTAACAAGAGCGAAACTCCGTCTCAAAAAAAAAAAAAAAAAAAAAAGCTTCCAATCCATAATGACCATCGTGGCCTATAACCCCAAAGAAGTAAAGTTAAAATAAGTTTGGAAGAGGTTAGTTGCAATAAAACATCAGTTTCATTAATTTGAACAAGAAGAGGATGGAGCTACAGATGCATGTTTTCTTCCTTTTTTGAACTAAGTTGCCCATTGCAGTGTATAGATTTCCTTATTTTTCTCTGTCTGAGTAAAGGATAAAGAGTAAAGCCTGGGTGTAGTGGCTCACGCCTGTAATCCCAGCACTTTGGGAGGCAGGTGGATCACTTGAGGCCAGGAGTTTGAGACCAGCCTGGTCAACATGGTGAAACCCCATCTCAACTAAAAAACAAAAACTCGCTGGAAGTGATAGTGTACACCTGTAATGCCAGCTACTAGGAAGGCTGAGGCATGAAAATGGCTTACAGTTCCAGAATTCAAGAGGCGGAGGTTGTGGTGAGCCAAGATTGCGCCACTATACTCCAGCCTGGGTGACTGAGTGAGACTCTCAAAAAAAAAAAAAAAATAGTAAAAACAAGAAGCTGTGAGGAGGCCAGATAGTTGAAGAAAGAGCAGAAACCCTCCCCCACACAGGAAACGGCTCAGGAGGTTGCCCCACAGAAGGGAAGAGTGTCTGCTAGGGTTTTGCAAGTTGGTTAATTTGAAAGATGCCTGGAGGAGGTGAACAGATGGTGCAAACTTAATTCTTCTCTTAGAAGACAAACTTCAAACATCCAACTCACCTGACCAGTTGAATAAGTTATAAGAAGACAGACACAAGTGTCGATTGTGCTAACAGTTCTGTGTCAAACGCCCTGAGCATCACCTCATTTAAGCCTCATGACTATATTGAAAAGAGACTTTTATCCCCATTTTATAGATGAAGAAACCAAGGCTCAGAGAACCAAGGCACTCCCCGGATCCAAGTCCGCCTAGCTGCAGCACCCCTGCATCCTCTGCACGTCACAGGTGCTCAGAAAGATGCTAAAGTCACCTGGCCCTGTGCCTTCAGGAAGCCAAAATGAGCACCGCCCCAAAAGGGACTGGCAGCCTCTTTCTGGAAAAAAAAAATGGAAGTTTGAATCTGAGGAGGTGTCCCTCAATAACGGGTGCAGCTCCCCAAGCCTGGGGCCAAACACAGCAGTTGTTCCTCCACTTACACCCCTGAGACGCATCTATAAGGCTTTTCAGAGCCAGGACACGTCCCCAAAGGTCGTGGCCTTCGGTGGGTAGCATTGACTCAGGGCCTATCAAAGCCAGAGGCTGCCCGCAGCGCTCAGATGTTAATAACTCATTGGATCTTCACAGTCCTGATGGAAGTAACTCTTCTTAGAGTCTTTCTGTCTCACAGATGAGGAAACTGAGGCAGAGAGAGGTTACATGGCTTGTCTAAGATCTCACAAAAAGAGTGGTGGAGTTAAGACTTGACTCCAGATGCTAGATCCTGACCCCAGTAACCTGTACTGCCTCCCAAAGAAGGAAGCTGGTGCCTGGGAGGGAGGGTGCACAGTGAGGGTGCGCATGGTATGTGTGTGTGTGTGTGTGTGTGTGTGTGTGGTGGGAAGCACTCTCTGGGGTACTTTGCCAATGTGTTCAGCTCCCCTGAAGTCCACTGTTGTTCTCCTGACCAGCCACTCAGTCTTGATTTACTTGGCCCAGGGCCACTGGCACACCCCACCCCGTTACCCCTTCTTGCTATAGACCCCAAGTCTTGGCTCTCACACCCCTTTCCAGTCCATACCACAAGGCTCCCATCTCCAGGCAGGGCGCTGCGGTGGGGCAGGGCCTCCCAGAAGCCCCTTATTCATGACCAGCCCACAGGATCTTCCCATGACACATTTCCTCCAGGGGATCAGCCCAGATGATGCAATTGACAATTCTGGGACTAACCAAGTGGACAAAACGTTCCCCACTGTGTCCTGGGGTTCCTGGGGGTATAGTGTCCTTGCAAACGGCCACTGAGTGCTTCAGCCCCCCTCCACTCCCCTGGGTTTTGTCCTGGTCATTTTCCCAGATCACCCCAGCCTTTCCTCCCGGGATGAATGTCCAGAGCAGGGCAGGGGCTGAGCCTGGAGCCCTTCACCCAAAACAGCAGGACCCCAAATTCCGAGCCCCTTACTTGCCCCAACTGCTTCCACTCATGCTTTCTTCATTCCTCCTCCAAATGCCCCAGCTGCCCGCTACGATCCCTTCCACACCCAGCCAGGTCCTGTGACACACACCTCCCCAGCGCACACAGACCTGCCCAGCTTCAGGGTCGCCCACTGGGCATTTCATAGGTGGCTCAGTCCTCTGCCCTCTGCAGCTGGCTCCAGAAACCTGCCAGATGTTGGTGCCAGGTCTGTGCCAGGAAAGCGACGCCTATCATTTCTAGTAATCCTCTGGGCAGTGTGACTGTGCCACTTACAGAAGCTCAAAGGGACAGGGTGACTCATCCTGGGTCACAGAGCTGAGGCAGGACAGGTGGAAGAGATGACATGCAGGGCTGTCTGGATTTATGAGGGCCAGTCCTGTGTCTGCCTGGCAATGGCCAAGGCCCCTTCCTGCCCAAGCTCCCCTCCCCTCCCCAACCTATTGTGTCTGTCATCCGCCATCCAAAGTCTACTTCCTGCGTGAGCAGGAACTGGGCACTGTACCCAGGGCGTGTACTGCCTCCACACCACAACCCTCAGAATCCTGAGCTGAGCAAAGGAGGAGGGGGCCGGGCCTCCAAGGAAGGCCTAGCCGCTGCTGCTGCCAGGAATTCCAGGTAGAAGGGGTGGCACCTTCCTGCCAGTCCCCAGCCCACGCTCCTGTACCTGCCGGAGGGAACAGAGCTTGAGGAGAGCGGGAAAGGTGGGACATTGCTGCTACTGCTCACTCAGTTCCACAGATGGAGGGACAGCTGGGCCTGGAGTGGGGGTCATTATGCAGATGGGAAAATGGAGGCCCAGAGAGGGAAAGAAATGGCCAGGAGATGCCAAGGGCAGGTGACCTCAACCACAGCCTAGCGCTGGAGCTGTGAGTAGAGGTAGAGTAGCAGAACATCCATTCAGCCATCTCAGGGGAAGGACGGGGCCCTGAAGGCAGGGGATGGAGCTGTCAGGAAAGGGAGCTGAGAGAGAAGGGGACAGGAGTCTGAGCTCAGTTTTCTGCTTCCTGAAAGGAGGGTGGTACATACTCCCCTCACAGGGTAACTGAATGAGAGACTGCCTGGAGGGAAGCCCACCCCACCCCAGTGACACCAGGGAGACCCCTGACAAGGGGGAGGGAGGACAGCATCAGAAGGGGCTTTCCGGGAACACCCAGCACCCGGCTCTGAGCTTGCCTTAAACTGCTGCATTTTAATCCTCACAGCAGCTCAACAAGGTACACACCATCACCACCCCCATTTTACAGATGGGGAAATTGAGGCTCGGAGCGGTTATACAAATCGCCTGAGGCCTCACAGCCACTAAGTGGGCCCTCTGGTCTGAATATGTGTGCTGGAGAATCCTGGGGGTCACTCACCTGGTAGAGCCCCGAGATGGAGGTGCAGTGAGACTGGCAAATAACAGAAGGGGCAAAAATGCACTCATCCATTCGTTCTGCAAGGATCTATGGCGCATACACCAGCTGCCAAGCAGGTTTGCGGTTTGCACAGAGGGTGATGCGGTCTGATTTAGGCTTCTAAAGGGATTGCAATCAAGTGGGGCCCCACTGGCCTCAGCCCCACCCCTCCCCTCCACCCCAGCACTCCCCAAAGCCTCCAACAACACCAGGGTGGGGGTCACATTCCCAAAGAAAATCCAAGCTGAATACAGATCACCTTGGTCTTCCAGGAGCAAAAACAGAAACAGGCCTGAGGCTGGTCAGAACTGAACCTCCTCCTGCTCTGAGCAGCCTGGGGGGCAGGCTAAGCAGAGGGCTGTGCAGACCCACATGAAGAACCTGCAGTGTGCCAGGCACTTCACCCAAGGCACTTCACAGCCATGCTTGGGAGTGAGACTTCCACCTCTCTCAGATGCAGGTGAAACACTTCTTGGTTCAGAGAGGTGAAGTAGCCTGCCTGAGGCAGCACAGGTCCTCTTTATAGACTTACTCTCCCACCCCTCCACCCTGTCTCATGCTCCCCACCCCCATGCCAGCCTGATGGTTGTGTCTGCCTCAGTCATGCTCCATTTCCCCATCGGGACTATCAAGAGTGTTTTTGTATCTGAGGCTGACAGTGTGACTTTGGATGAGCGGCCTCTCTGCTCTGAGCCTCAGTTTCCTCGTCTGTCAAATGGGCTGTAGCCCACTCTGATCTCCCAGGGCGGCAGTGAGTCTTCAGCATCAGGCATTTCGGGGTGACTCAGTAAATGGTAGAACTACCATTGCTACCAGTGGAACACCCACTGAGAATTCTGCAGTGACAGCAGAGGGCCAGCAGCGTGGTGCTCTCCCAGAGAGTGACTCACACCGCCCCCTCCACCTTGGACCCAGGACACTGTGGTTTCTGAGCCAGGTACAATGACTCCTTTTGGTACATGGAGTGGAGGCTGTGCGCTGCCCAGGCAGAGCGTCCAGGCAGTGTGGGCGGGCAACTCAGAGCCCAGCCAGTGGACTTAGCCCCTGTTTGCTCCTCCGATAACTGGGCTGACCTTGGTTAATATTCACCAACAGCCTCCCCCGTTGCCCCTCTGCAGCCACTGCTTAAATACGGAGGAGGACAGGGCTCTGTCTCCTCAACCTCAGGCACCATCGCTGACCTGGGACAGTGAATCGTAAGTATCCCTTTCACTGCGAAAGGTTCTGGAGAGGCCGCTGAGTCTTGCACGGCCCAGGCAGGCAGCAGGCCTGGGGCAGGGGTGGTTGTGGAGTGGGTATCCACCCCCTGGGGTGCAGGGCACAGGGAGGGGCTGCAGCTGGGCTCCTGTTGTCAAAACAGCAGCCATGAGAGGGTGTCCTGTTTCCCAGGCCTGCCTGGTACCCCTCAGTACCTCCCAGTGGGCTCACTGGCTCTTGTAAGCAGAAGTAAATGAGGGTGTCTGGCTCCATGGTCCTGGCACCCCAGGATGGGGGTACAAGCCAAGATACAGCAACTAGGCTCAGTCATTTCTTTCTGTTTGCACAGCTCCTGTTTCTGTCGGGGAGATCCTGTCTGTTGTCTCCTGTAAGCCTCACCTCCTCTCCTACTGCTTGGGCACGCATCTTTTTCCCCTTCTATAGATAAGGAAGTTAAGATCCAGAGGGGGCAGGAAGGAACACCAGCTTACACTCTCCATCCCCTCCAGATATGACCAGGAGCAGACCTGTGCCGAGCCTCAGCCTCACATGCACTATGGACCTCTGGGTCCTCCTGTCCCAGTGGAGGACAGGAAGCTGTGAGGGGCACCATCATCCGGGGCTCAAGCTGGCATTCCCGAATAATCGCTCTGCGCCAGGCTACCGCTAAGCTCAGTGCACAATTAAGCCTTATAACCCTCCAAGGCAGTTACTAGGGTTATTCCCATTTTACAGATGAGGAAGCTGGGGACAGAGAGGTTAATAACTAGCCCCAAATCACACACCATTCATAATTCAGGCTCAGGCACCTGGTTCCTAGCCTGGCCCTAGTGCTCAGTTTCTCTCAGGTCTCAGGCACTGGATGGGAAACAGGAAGCCTGGGCTGGACTCAAGGTCTCGCTGATGCTCAGTGACTTCAGATTGTTGCTCAACCTCTCTGTTCTCTTGGGCAAAACATGATAACCTTTGACCTCTCTCCTCTCCCCTCACTCACCACGACCTTGATCTCTGGAGTGCTGGAAGGATTTAATTTTTCCCCACACTGAGTTTTGGGGATGGGGTCAAAAAGATGACCCAAGGCCAAGGCGTTCAGGTTCCCACAGAACGTCTCTAAAAGACCTGCACCAGGAGCAGCAAGAACTGATGTTCTCGAGAACATACTGTGCGCCAGGCAGTTCTTGGCATTTTGTGCATATTTAATTTGCACAATAGCTCTATGACAAAGTCCGCCTTTCTCATCTCTAGGAAATCGAGGGTCAGAGAGGTGAAGCAACTTGTCCAAGGTCACACAGCTAATAGCAAGTTGATCTGGAGAAATCTGTCCTCAGAGCCTCAAATTTCAGCTGCAAACTGACGCTGCCCCTCTTAATGAGCCGGGCCACCTCTGAAGTCTCCTGATTCAAGTCTCCTGGCTTCAGCTTTGTACACAGAGAGGATTAAATGTCAGGTTTTGGAGTCAAATTTGTTTAATCCTAGACAGCACATCTAGGATTAAATCTCAGTTCTGTAAGCAAGGAGCTCTGTGATTTTTAGTGAGTTACTTAAATCCTCTTTGAGCCTCAATTTTTCTATCTATAAAATAGGGCTAATAGTAATTTGCACCTCTTAGGGTAAACGTGGAGGACAGATTAGTGGGGCAGTGCCTGTAAAGCACCAGGTGTTAGTGTGGCGATGACGGTGACGCTGAGGCTGTTTGTCTAGCATAGGACGAGGCAGCCGGCAGGCAGTCAACAAATACTTGGAGAAATTTAATGGAAAATTTGCCGAACTCAGTCGCTGTTCACTGCTGAACAGAAGCCTCTTTCTGCTGAAATGTGTCCTGTGGAGTGCAGCAGCTAGCCAGGGAGAAATCTGCCGTCTCTCAGGCAGGAGTGCAACCTGTGTACAGATACAGAGAGGGCTTCCACACCTGGTGCGTGCCCACCCATGCATGACCTTGGTTATTCCTCATCTCTGTCCAGAGGATTCTTTTCTCCACTGTACAGATATGAAGCCGTGTGAAGTCATTTGCCAGAGCCCCCTGCCAGTAAGTGAAATGTATTGCTCATTTCAACAGGTCGATTGACCATGGGCGAGATTCTCTTCCCTGCACCCTGCCAGGTTGCTCTTGGACCTTCGTTTTATGCTCCTGGGTAGAAATGGTGTGAAATTAGGCAGGCAGTGGCTCACTTCCCTCTCCCCTGCCTTGCAAAGAGTGCTCCCACCTGCCCCGATCCCAGAAATGTCACCATGAAGTCTTCATTCTTTTGGTTTAAAGCTTGGCCTCGGTGTCTGTACACCATGGGGCCCTTGGCCGTCTACTGTCTCCTCTCCAGTCAGCCTCCCAGGCACTAGTCTTTGGGGGTACAGGATGCTGCCTTTGATAGAAGGGCCAAGAGAGAGTAGGTTTGGGAACCCTGAGGTTATAAGGGACAGCTTGGGAGGCACAGTGAACCCAACATGATGCTTGAGACCAATGTCAGGGCCCGATTCAGACATTCGTCATCTGGGATTTGAGACAAGGCTGTTTCAGTCCATAGACAAGTACTGGGAAAGCCAAGACTTATCCCAGCTTTGTCACTGACTTGCTGTATGGCCGTAGTAAGGCCCTGACCCTCTCTGGGCTGCAAACTCTTCACTGTGAAGGGAGAAAACCAAGTAGGTGATGTGACATGGGGGAAGATGGATGGGTGTGGGGAAATGCACTCCTCCCAGCTGTCACCCCCTCTCCACCCACCCTGCACCAGCCTTGCCACCTCCTTTGAGCCCAGAAGTCCCTTGCGTAGGAGGGCGCCTCACCTCATGCCTACCCACAGGAATTCTCCATCTGTTTTGCTCCACCAAACCCAGATGCCATTGTAACAAAGAATTCTGGCCAGGTGCAGTGGATCACACCTGTAACCCAGCACTGTGGAAGGCCAAGGCAGGCAGATCAGGAGATCAGGAGTTCAAGACCAGCCTGGCCAAAATGGTGAAACCCCGTCTCTATTGAAAATACAAAAATTAGCCTGGCATAGTGGCACATGCCTATAATCCCAGATACTCAGGAGGCTGAGGCCGGAGAATTGCTTGAACCCAGGAGGTGGAGGTTGCGGTGAGCTGAAATCACGCCACTGCACTCCAGCCTGGAGGATAAAGTGAGACTGCCTGAAAAAAATAAAAATTAAAAATACTATGTTAGTGTACAGAGGACCCCAGTGAGGTCTTCTCCCAGCCCTGCTTTGCACAACTGGGGAAAATAAGGCCCCAGGACCGGAGGGTGCTTGCTCAAGGCCAAGTGGACGGTGATGTCCCTGCCAGGGATAGAAGCCACAGCCACTCAACATATTCAGTGTCCCCACCCTGCAGAGGTCCAAATCCCTCCCAACCACTGAGCCCTGTAATGATGGGGGAATTTCCATAAACCATGAAGGGCTGCGCAAAGTTCAGTGGGGAAGTGAAAGAGAAATCCAGGGGAGATGGAAATATACAGCATTAATTTTAGCCCGGCCTTCGGCTCTAACAACACTAGCTAGTTGAAGAAAAACATAAACATGTGTTATGTAATGTGTGGTCTGTTCCACTGGGACTACGAGAACCAGGAGAAAGGTGGTAGAGAAACCAGTTATGTGCTTCGTTTTGTTGCTTTATTGGAAAGAAACTTGGAAAAGTCCAAGACGGTCGATGAATCTTAGTATTTGTTTATTTCCAACTTTTTTTCTCCAGTTTTTCATTTGTCAAATTCAAGAACACCTTTTTCTTTGCATTTTGTTAAGATGGTGATTTTAGTTGTGTGGCCAGTAGTTAACTATGTGGTTACCAGGCGGATTCTCAACTGGGACCTCAGTTTCCCCATCTGTGAGGATGGCAGATCTACTTAGGGGGCTGCAGACTGGTGGTCCGAAGCCGAGGCATATCTGGAGTAGAAGGAGCACTGTGGGGCAGGGCAGGCTCTATATTGCTGTGGATGACATTCACTTGGACCATTGCTTGGCAGAGCCTGCTCTCACTAGTTCAGCCACAGGCCCCACCACTCCCTACTGTCTCAGCCCCAGGTATGGAACACATATTCCTCACGGGCCTATCACATGAAGGCTTTGAATCTGCAACACCTGCCAAGCCCGCCCTCAAAAGCGTTGCTCTCTCAGATCCTTTGATGTAAGGTTTGGTGTCTAGATTTATTTTACTAAATTCTTCCAACAACCTTACTTTATATGAGGCAAAATGAGGACCAGAGAGATTAATGACTTGTCCTGGCTCATACACTGGAAAGTGACAGAATCAGATTAGATCCCAGGTGTATCTGAAGCTAAAAGCAGAGTTTTTTCATTTCCCACCACCCCATCTCCTTTAAAGCAGCACAAACCCCTGCTTTAAAGGAGAGATGAGCTTCTCTAAAGCCCGTGACAGCAAAAGACCAGAACTGGGGACACCGTTGGTGACTCGGACAGCAAGTAAGCTGACTGCAGGCATATCATCCTATTCTTGTGACTGGAACCACAGAGTATTGTAGGGACAGCCCCTCTCTCAGGAAAAAACCCTAAGGGCTGAGGCTCCCTGTGAGTGTTGGGTGGAACAGCCCCCAGGGGATTTAATCTCAGCCCCACCATGCTCTAGCTGGTGCCATTGTGCAAGACACATTTCCCTTCTCTGCAGCAGTTTCCCTGGCCACTAAATAGTGGGGTTAGATAGAAGCTCTCCAAGGGCTCCCAGCGCGACGTGAGTCTTGATTCTGATCTGGCCTGATCCTGGATAATCGTGGGCAGATCCCTTATTCCTCTGGTGCCTCATCTTCTTTCGTGAAACAGTGGCTGTACCACTTGCATCTTAGGGTCATTGCAGTTGTAAGGGGAGCTGCCCAGAGCCTGGACGCAAGACCTAAATGTAGGATTCCAGTTCTGCTACTTTACTTACTCGGTAACATTGACTAGTTGACCTAATCTCCCTGGCTTTGGCTTCCTCATCTGTAAAATGACGATAGCAGCATTAGCACCTCACAGGATTATTGCAAGAAAGGAATGAGTTAACACATGTGAGCCCACAGAACAGTGCTTGGCATATGGTAAGCACTACATACATTTTGCTATTCTTCTGATTCTTTCAGTGTTAGTGATGTCAGCAAGTACTTGGCCCAGGCTGGTTTAATAAACCATAGGCTGGTTTAATAAACCATCTGTGCTTCTACATGATGTCAATCCCTGATCACTGGAAGTCATCACGTGCCCTGGTCCCCTCGTCTCTGTCTTGCAGGACAATGCCATCCTCTGTCTCGTGGGGCGTCCTCCTGCTGGCAGGCCTGTGCTGCCTGGTCCCCGGCTCCCTGGCTGAGGATCCCCAGGGAGATGCTGCCCAGAAGATGGATACATCCCACCATGATCATGACCACCAAACCCACAACAAGATCGCCCCCAACCTGGCTGAGTTCACCCTCCGCCTATACCGCCAGCTGGCGCACCAGTCCAACACCACCAACATCTTCTTCTCCCCAATGAGCATCGCGACAGCCTTTGCAATGCTCTCCCTGGGGACCAAGGCTGACACTCACACCGAAATCCTGGAGGGCCTGAATTTCAACCTAACGGAGACTCCGGAGGCTCAGGTCCATGAAGGCTTCCAGGAACTCCTCCGTACCCTCAACCAGCCAGACAGCCAGCTCCAGCTGACCACTGGCAATGGCCTGTTCCTCAATGAGAGCCTGAAGCTAGTGGATAAGTTTTTGGAGGATGTCAAAAAGCTGTACCACTCGGAAGCCTTCTCTGTCAACTTCAGGGACCCTGAAAAGGCCAAGAAGCAGATCAACGACTATGTGGAGAAGGGAACCCAAGGGAAAATTGTGGATTTGGTCAAGGAGCTTGACGAAGACACGGCTTTTGCTCTGGTGAATTACATCTTCTTTAAAGGTAAGGTTGCACAATCAGCCTGAGCTGTTCCCATAGAAACAAACAAACAAAAATTCTCAGACCATCAGTTCTTGAACTCTCCTTGGCAATGCATTATGGGTTATAGCATCCATGTCTGCATGGATTCTTCAATTCTCTACACAAAAACACTACAGCGTTTTCCATCATTGAGTAATTTGGGGGAATAACAGGTTAAATTCTCAAAACTGCCGATGGCTCTGCAGAACTTTTCAGAGCCTTTAATGTCCTTATGTGTACTGTCTATGTAGAATATGTAATGCTTAGAACTACAGAACAAATTGTAGTACCCTGCTTAATGGGATAGTTTCATGGAACAGACTTTAGACAACTCTAGTGTCCGGGAATCAGTATCAGCTTTGCAGTCTGAAAGACCTGGGTTCAAATCCTGCCTCTACCACTTATATTAGTGCATTCTACCTCTTTGAGGTGCTAATTTCCCATCTTAGCATGGACAAAATAGCACCCTGACTGTCAGGCTTTTTAAGGATTAAACAAGTGACAAAGATCTTGGGGGGGCGGCGTGTGGCATACAGCAGGTGAAGGACTCTTATGTACCTCAGGCTGCCTTCCTGCCCCTGAGGGGTTACAATGTCACACTTATGGGGGCCCCAGGGCATTCTAAGCCAGCTCCCACTGTCCCAGGAAAACAGCCTGGGAGAGGGGAGGTGGGAGGCAAGCCCAGGCCTGCTTTCCTCCACTCTGAGGCTCCCTTGCTCTTGAGGCAGAGGAGGGCAGTGGGGAGCAGCCAGGCTGCAGTCAGCACAACTGAGGTCCCAGCTCTGCTCTTCAGACGCGGCAGGCCCCGTCCCTCTTCAGCTTCACTCTCCTCCTTCTGTCCAATGAGAAAGCTGAGCTCAGGGGTCCCTGAGGCACCTGCGCACTCTGCATGCCTCGATGGTGAAACTCTCTTGGTATGGCAGAGGGGAGGCTGCCTAGGCATCTGCATTTCCCCTGAGGATCCAGGAAAAGGCCTCAGGAGTAGTAAGCAGAATGTTTGCCCTGAATGAATAACTGAGCTGACAGTTAACTAAGGGCAGGGAGCCCCAGACAGGAGGTACCAAATGTGCCTGATGCTCCAGAATTTTATTTGTCATGTCCAAGACACCCTCAAATAAAAATACAATTCCAATAAAAATGCACAGCCAGGATGGCATCTCTTAGCCTGGCAACCCCACGATGTAGAAACTCTGCATATTCCTCTCATTCAGAATTATCCCCACACAATCCTTTCCGGGAGCTTCCCAGATGGTGAAGCTGAGGCTCGAGAGATGTGTGTCATCAAGGGGGCTCAGGGCTTCTCAGGGATGGGACTCTGGGCTCCTTTATTCTGCCACATTCTTCCAAACTTTCACCCACCCCTGGTGATGCCCATCTTCCTCTCTGTCCAGGCAAATGGGAGAGACCCTTTGAGGTCAAGAACACCGAGGAAGAGGACTTCCACATAGACCAGGTGACCAGTGTGAAGGTGCCCATGATGAGGCGTTTGGGCATGTTTAACATCCACCACTGTGATAAGCTGGAGGGCTGGGTGCTGCTGATGAAATACCTGGGCAATGCCACCGCCCTCTTCTTCCTGCCTGATGATGGGAAACTACAGCACCTGGAAAATGAACTCACCCACGATGTCATCTCCAAATCCCTGGAAGCTGAAACCAGAAGGTAATTCCCCAACCTGAGGCTGACCAAGAAGCTGCCCGCACCTCATAGCCATATTGGGACTGAGGCCCATCAGGACTGGCCAGAGGGCGGGGGAGGGTGAACCCCACATCCCTGGGTCACTGCTACTCTGCATAAACTTGGTTTCCAGAATGAGGCCACCACTGAGTTCAGGTAGCACCATCCATGCTCCATGAGGATGACAGTACCCAGGGGCGAGGAGGTAAAGGTCTAGTCCCTGGGGACTTCCCACTCTAGCGTAGACACTGTCCCTTCCCAATATTCAGGGCCCAGGGCAGGGACAGCAGCACCATCACATGTTCTTGCAGAACCAAGAAGGAACAGATGGCAAAGGCAACAGTGGAGTCAGGAGTTCAAGGGTAGACTGTCCCTGGGGGAACGGGGGAAGCGCCTGTGTGACAAGGCCCAGAAAAGCAAGGGTTGGAATTGGAACAGCCAGGGCACGTTAGCAGAATTCAAGCAAGTTCCACTGTCACTTTATCGATGCTGTTAGATTGGGCGCCCCACAGCAAATGACACTTGAACAGGAGCCAACGTTATTGTATGTGTGTGAATTCGTAATTATGCCCATGCCCTGCTGATCTAGGTGTTTTTTTTTTTTTTTTTTTTTTGGTCACTGTAAAACCAAGTTGAAAGTACAAAAGGTGTCGGATTCATAATAGGAATTGAGGCAGGAATTCCTCTGTCCCACTCCAGCACCTTTTGAGGTCCCTGATCCAGGGGTTAAGAAAGAACAAGAAGGCTGAGAGGGTAACTGATCAGAGAGCCCAGGGCCACGCTGCCTGCTCACGCCAGACCCTGCTCGGGGCGGCTCTGTCTCCCCGTGGAAAACCAGAGGGGGGCATTCAGTCTGGAGTGGTCCCTCTTCTCTCATCCCCTGGACAGGTGTCACTGGGCACTGCCACCAGCCCCATGTTCTCCTCGGTGTAGTGTCCTGGGGATATTCCAGGATGGGGACCCAGTGACGCTACACTACAAGGCAGGATGAGACAGGCTTCCAGGACACCTAGAATCTCAGAGGAGGTGGCATTTCAAGCTTTCGTGATTCATTTGATGTTTACATTCTCTGACTCTGAGTGTAGAGCGGCTGTAAGTAGAACAAACCGAAGCCAAGGTCCCGTCTTAGTGTGGGTGGAGGACACAGCAAAGAGTGGCAGAAACAGTCAGAAAAGAAAACACTTGTGGGTCCCAGAAGAACAAGAAAAATGCTGTGCCATGCCTTGATTTTCTTTTCTGCACGGCAGATCTGTCTATTTACATTTACCCAAACTGTCCATTACTGGAACCTACGATCTGAAGACAGTCCTGGCTCAACTGGGCATCACTAAGGTCTTCAGCAATGGGGCTGACCTCTCGGGGGTCACGAAGGAGGTACCCCTGAAGCTCTCCAAGGTGAGATCACCCCGACGACCTTGTCGCACCCTGTTATCTGAAGGGAAGAATGTGGGGCGGGGGCTGCAGCTCTGTCCTGAGGCTGAGGAAGGGGCTGAGCTTCTGAGGATGCCCGTGATTCACTGACATGGGACGCGCTCAGACAGAGAAGCCAGGGAGGGACCTGCTGTGCTGCTGGCACTTTCAGGGCCTCCCTTGAAGTTGTGTCACTGGTCCTGAATTTCATCTTTGCCCAGGACCTTCTAGACATTGGGCCTTGGTTTATCTATATTGACACAGAAAGGTTTGGGCTAAGTTGTTTCAAGGGACTTTCTGACTCCTTCGATCTGCGAGTTTTGGGTCTGAGGCACATCACCAAGTGTGAATTAATGAATGATGTCAGCTAAAGATGACACCTAGTTAGGAAGACTAAAAGTGACCAAAGAACAGTTGCAGTCAGCGAATGGCTGCATTATCTTGGGGTCTCAGGACTGTGACGGTCACTGTCAGAGTCCGTGTCCCTGAGTAGCTTACAGCCACGTTAGAAAGGAGAGAGCTGGAGGCAGATGTGGAGTGAGGATGCTCTTCCTCGTTCTGAGTTGTGGGTCTGTCCCGAGAAGCGGGAGGGGCATTTGTCAGGAAGGTGGATGGAGGGGAGCCAGACCCATCACCCAAGGCCTTGAGGAGGAGCAAGGCCTGTGTGACAGGGAGGCAGAAAACATGCAGGGCCAAGGCCGTCCAGGCGGATAAAGGCCAGAATGAGCGCTTCCTGGGAGGTGTCCGTGCGGGCCATGCTCCAGGCCTGGGCTGGGGCACAGCTCAGCCTCAGATGCATCTCTGCTTCTCTCTCCTCCAGGCTGTGCATAAGGCTGTGCTGACCATGGATGAGAAAGGGACTGAAGCTGCTGGGACCACGATCTTTGAGGCCATACCCATGTCTATGCCCCCTGAGGTCAAGTTCAACAAACCCTTCATCTTCTTAATGTTTGAACAAAATACTAAGTCTCCCCTCTTCATGGGAAAAGTGGTAAATCCCACCCAAAAATAACTGCCTCTCACTCCTCAGCCCCTCCCCTCTCTCCTTAGCCCTCTCCCTCAGTGACATTAAAGAAGGGCTGAGCCAGCCCCGCCTGAGTGTGACTGCAAACACTGCCCTGTTGTCTCTGTGTCTCCCGTTGCCTGCTGAGGCCATGTGTGGGCTCCAGGCCACAGTGCTCTCTCCGCCCCTGTTCATGAAGCCTCTGGCTGGGCAGGCACATGCTGGGCCAGGATGGAGGGGGCTGGGCCCATCAGTTTCTGGAAAGCTCCAGTCTTCCTTGTCCTGTCTTGGTGTAGGGGGGAATCACAGGGGAGGGATCAGGTACCAGCCCATGACCCCCGGCTGCGCCAAGCATCCTCACGTACCCCTGCTCATCCCCTACTCCCCCCAACCAGAGTTCCTCATCCTGCCAGGGCTAGCTGTGGCCACACCAAGGCTGCCCTCCTGGGGGCCTGAGAACTGCCCGTTCGCACCTTGGCCCTGTTCTGTAGCATCTGCAGCAACGATAGAGAGGAGACCATGTCCCCTTCTTGTCCCACCGTCACCTACCCAGGCATGGGCCCTGCACCTCTTGGGCACTCCTGGCAAATGACTGAGGCAGATTCTTCCTGAAGCCTGTTCTCCATGGGGCTACAAGGACCCTTACTCTGTCCTTGTCCTTCCTTTGCTGCCCCAGAAAGCCTCATATATCTCCGTTTAGAATCAAGTCCCTTCTCCCCAGGTGAAGAGGAGGGTCTCTGCTTCTTCTTCTCTATCTCCTCCTCAGACTCAACCAGGCCTATCAGGCCCCAGGAGACCATTACCCTGTAACCCCTTCTCCTCCCTAGTCACGTGGCCATAGGCCTGCTGATGGCTCAGAAAGGCCATCGAAAGGAGTCCTCAGCTACGGGAGAGGAGGCGCAGCGACTAGGACCCTGCAACTCTTCCGTTTCCTCCCCTGAGTCCTGAGTGGGACCACACGCAGTCTGGCTTCTTTGTGTCTATGGCTGTCCCTGCAGTCTTCAGAGGGCAGCCACAGTTCCAGTGCCACAGCAGGAGGCTGTTCCCTTGTGATAAAGGCCAGGAGGATCCTTCCATCCCCTAAGGCCCTGCTAAAGGGCACAGCAGCCAGGAGGTCCCCAGGGCCCCCAGCGGAAGGTCAGCCTGCTCCCTCTGTCTCTACCAGGAATGGTCTCATCCTGTGGAATGCGCTGCCCCATCCTAAACTCATCTAGGGATCACTGTCTAACCACTCACTGTCATGAATGTGTACTTGAAGCACTAGGTTGAGTCATACAAAATAGTGGCTTCTATAGTTCAAAATGGTGAAATTAGCAATTCTGCATGATTCAGTCTAATCAGTGGATACCAGCTGTTTCCCACACAAGTCTCCTGTTCTCTTAAGCTTACTCATGACAGCCTTTCACCCTCCACAAAACATTAAAGATATGACCATCATCAAGCCCCCTCGGATGACACCAGACCTGAGAGTCTGAAGACCTGGATCAAAGTTCTGACTCCTCCCCCTGCCAGCTGTGTGACCTTCATGAAGTCGCCAAACCTCTCTGAGCCCCAATCATTGATAGAAAGACCTACCTTTGAGTTACGATACTCACGTCAGATAATAAAACAGCATTTACACCCATTAAAGCAGAGAATAAATAGAACTATGTTTCTTGCATTTATGAGCTTTCTGTGAATCAGACAGCCCTGCAAAGTACCTCGGTGGCTATTTCTCATTTAATCACTGTAGCAGCACTGTGATGTCTGAGTAGATCTGCTGTGCTCTTAAACTCCAAATCTACAGATGAGAAAACTGAGGCTCAGAGAGGCTACTGGTCTCCCACAATGTCACACAGCTCGTAAGTGGCAAGGCTGGCTTGATGGGCTACTTGTTCCTCTGAACCACACCACCTCACCACATGCTCCCCTTCGAGGGTCACGCTGACCTTCTGCAGAGCTAATTTCTCCCTAAGCCATAAACATTGCTGGTGGCCCACAGCTCACGCCTCGCATGCTTGGTGAGGAAATGCCCTGTGCCCAACGTGGAGGGGGCCCTGCAGAAGCTCACCCACCAGATGTTGACACAGTCCCCAGCCTCGGATGACCCACAGGACTCCTCATATTTCCCAAAACTAGCATTTGGTAGGACAACAGGGGCTGAGTCAATGACAAGTTGGCTTTCGGAAGAGCCCAGGGCAGGAAAGGAGGCTGCGGTGCTCAGGGCAGCCACGTTAGACACCATCATTTTACTTTGAAGAATTACCTGTCACACACGAGTTGGCAGTCTGGTTGGGAGAGACTCCATTCCAACTAGCGTGAGCTCCCAGAGGGAATTCCTGGACTCTGGTGGGAATCAACAGGGATCAGTCAGGGGTGTGCAGAGCGTCACGGCGACCTCACTATGAGGAAAACAAATGTATGTCACAAGTCAGTGATGGGACAGCCATAAGACCTGAGCTTCACCGTATCCACCAGTTTTTTTAAAAAATGTATTCACTGTCTAATGTGATCCTCCATACAGGTCTTGCAGGACACAAGCTAGGAATCCCCAAAGTACACATGGAGAAACTGAGGCCCAACAGGTCAAATGCTCCACCCAGTGTGGGCTGAGAAGGCAGGTCTTCTCCACTCTTAGGTCTAGCTGTCCCCAGCTGCACCCACTTCCTCAATCCATACGGGATCATGATGAAAAACTCCATCCTCCAGGACCACGCTGCATCCTGAGGGTTCCAAGCCAGTTCCCACTGCAGGCAGGAGCCTCATTCTTCTCTGAAACAGATAGGGAAATACAGAAAACAGCTTCCAGGAACCTCAGAGTCATCACCTTTTACCTCGCATAGGAGTTTGCAGGGGAGAGAACACACGAATTTTAGATTTTAAGCCTAAATAAAGGAAACCTTGGTTTGAAGTACAAGCTCTGCCAGCAGGGGGCACCCTGTGAGCCCCATTTGTAAAGAGGACAACAGTCAGGGAACATCCAGGCTTCTCACACCAGAAACAGGAAATACAGATTACACACTGATCTCCTTCCCAGGAGCAACTTGATCCTCTCCGTAAATCTGAGCAGGGAGCATTTATTCAAACAACAAATTTCTGGGCTCCTATGGGAATCCACCAGGATCAGACAGGGGTGGGCAGAGCATCACAATAACCTCATTATGAGGAAGACAAATGTATGTCACAAGTCCGTGATGTGAGAGACATAAGACCTGAGCTTCACCGAATCCTCCAGAGTTTTAAAAAAATGTATTCCCTGTCTAATGTGATCTCCATACAGGTCCTGCAGGACTCAGGCTAGGAATCATTATCAAACAACAAACAAGCAAACACGAGCTGCATGTGGGGATGGAGAGAATGAAACCCAGGTCCATCCGTGGGAGAGTGCTGGTCTCTGGCGGTGGGGAACGGTGAATAAATGAGACTTGCATCCCTGGATCTGACTGGAGAGGGTCAGGGTGCAACCCAGGACTTTTCAAAGGCATGAGAAACAGTCAGCATACACCCACAGATGACCTCAAACACCCCAAGGGCTCCTTGAAAGGCTGAGGCCTTTGTGTTGTTCTCTGTTGGATAATTCACAGGCCCTGGAGTAAACACAGCCTGCTGCAGGACCCAGAGTCAGGAGCAGCTTCTGCAGGAATTAGGGCCAGTTCTAAAGGGACAAATGGAATGACCCTGGGTAGAGAAGTCAGGGAAAGGCACTCTCACTGAGGCAAGCTCCCTCTCCAGCAGGGACCCAGGCAGCAACCTGGAAAAGCAGGAGTTTCCCTATGACATCATCTAGGAGAGGGCAGGCTGTGTGACCTCAGGGAAGTTCCTCAACTTCTCTGTGCCATAGTTTCCTCACCTGCAAAATGTAAATCAAATTTGAGCTCTCAATGTAATGACTTATTTCTCTAAATTTCCTTGTCCTGGTCCCATGCAGCCCAGAAATCTTCCTCTGGCCTCATTGTGGAGCCGAGGATAGGCCTGGCCTGAATCTCACATTTCTGGAGATGGTGAAGCTGACAAGCATGAGAGGTCAGTTTTTAGAAGTCCAAATTCCAGTAGGCATAAGTCACACGCTCCCATATCAGCTTTATAGAAACAAAAAAATAACATGTCATATCCATTTGTCCTTTTCCTCAAATGGGTGGCACTTGGGCAGCATAGAGGGGCTGGTTATCAGGGAGCCCAGGAATTCCGTCTGGGAGCTCACGCTAGTTGGAATGGGGTCTCTCCCAACCAGACTGCCAACTCGTGTGTGATAGGCAATTCTTCAGAGTAAAATGATGGTGGCTAAGGTGACTGCCCTGAGCTCTGCAGCCTCCTTTCCTGCCCCAGGCTCTCCAGAAAGTCAACTTCTCTTTGACTCAGCCCCTGTTGTCCTACTAAATGTCAGTTTTGGGAAATATGAAGAAGCCTGTGGGTCGCCCAAGGCTGGGGACTGTGTCAACATCTGGTGGGTGAGCTTCTGCAGGGCCTGCTCCACGCTGTGCACAGGACATTTTTCTCACCAAGCATGCTAGGCCTGAGCTGTGGGCCACCAGCAACGCTTATGGTTTAGGGAGAAATTAGCTCTGCAGAAGGTCAGGGTGACCCTCGAAGGGGAGCGTGTGGTGAGGTGGTGTGGTTCAGAGGAACAAGTAGCCCATCAAGCCAGCCTTGCCACTTACGAGCTGTGTGACATTGTGGGAGACCAGTAGCCTCTCTGAGCCTCAGTTTCCTCATCTGTAGATGCTCAGAGATGCTGCCAGCAGACACTTCAACGGCAACAGGAGTTTTCTGATAACTGTCATTGGTATCACACTTACTACTGAAATCATGACATCAGGAATGATGAAAAGAACTAGAGTCAGATGGTCTGGAGCAGGGAAGCTGAAACCTCCTTGAGCCTGGTTGCTGGGCCCCCAGGGCTGGTGGATCCCCTCTGTTCAGGAACCAACCCTTGCTGAAGGGTTGAAGCCACTGAGCTGTGGGCTTCTTAGTTACGGCAGCACATCCTTGCCCATCCCGACTGATACAACCAGAAGTCATGAAATATGTCTAAGAAGTCTTCACCTACTATGTAGGCCTGGAAGGGTGGCTAAGATTTAAAAATCACAAGGAAAACTGAAGGAATTCTCACAAGGAAACCTCATGAGAAA